GAGCAGGGGCAGAGCCCGGCAGGGCAGGGCCGGGCCGGGAGGGCGGTCCCGCCGCTATCCCTGGGCCGGGGCAGCCGCGCTCAGCTCTGGCACCGGAGGTGACCGGGAAGAGGAAGGCGGAAGGGGCGAGGGGAGTGGGAGAGGAGCAACTGTTCAGAGCTCGGCTGTAAACACCGTCTCCTCCCAAGGGAGGTGACAGGGAAGTAAATAAAAAGTAAATAAAGTCAGCAAGAGCTGTGGTGATATTCCTTGGGAATGCTTTAATGGAGCAGCACAACGGCACGGGAGGGTGATTATTTTTACAGGTTAGGAGGTTCCTGTTGACACTCACAAAAACTGCCACTTCCTCACGTCACTGCAGATTTATCCTCAAGCAATCCGGAAACTGTCAGTTTTTTTTTCCCCCTTTAGTTTTTTGATCAGGAGACCTGAGAGGATTCTCTTGAGGCCTCCAAGCATCGATTTTTGAGTACACAGACTCTGTTGTACTTGACAGGCTAGAGCACCCTGCTAGGGTTTGCAACAAATAGCTAATCCCCAACACGCAAGTGTATGCATTTATATTTATATCCCAGATAAAAAGAAGTACGTGCTCCCGTCTGTGACAACTGCAGTTGCTCGTCCGAAAAATTGACAGTGATGTGAAGTTATCTAACCTTTTATAGAAAAGTAAGTAAAGGTTGGTTCCTTTTAGCAACATTTGTTCAAATGAGCATTTGGGGAGTGCACTGCTGTCAGTGCTGGAATGCAGATTATCCAGCTTTAGTTTCACACGTGACAACTTAGACAGGTACTATCCCTAGACCCATCTTGGAAGAACTGTAACAATAAGGCAACAGATGAACAGCTTAGATGAAATTCCTGTTCAGTACAAGAACAGAAGTGTCAGATATAAGCCATGGTCATAGCTGAAGCTTTTGGCAGTGTCCCTGCCTGACTGTCACCACTGAATCTCCTGTGCACAATTGTCATCTCAGGAGGGGCTGAAATGCTGCTATTTGCTGAGAGTTTTTAGTTCAGCAGCAGATGGGCTCCAGAGGTTCTCTGCTAATCTCTTGTAAGGTAATAACTGATATTTTTTTGTGGAAGTACTGCAGCTCTGTACGTGGGAAGGGAAAGGTAATAATAAAGCTGCTATGCTTTGGGCTAAGACTGCTTTTTTCTCTTCTGCAAGCAAGTTGTGTAGTTTTTATAATGGACGTATTTGCTAGTGCAGGAAATAAACATTTCAGCTTTTCTTATGGTTCTTTTGTATCTCTAGCGTATCTTATCATGATGGTGAGCATCTGAAGAAAGTTATAAAGAAACTAATGATATCCTTCAATGGGTTCTGACATAAATATTTTCCTGTTAGAACTTCTAAGAATCTCATCTGCCTGAGCTGGAAATCGGCGGCTGCTTTGCCTCCTAGACCGATCTGTCCTGGAGCATCGTTCAAGTTATCGACTTGAACTTTGGTTTCATTGCCCGCATCAATACTCTGGCTCAATAGTTTGTGAAGGAATGCTCAGTCTTAAAAGAGTAGTAAGAGCTGTTGCGCTAGGTCTTCTGGGCAGTCTGCTGCTGCTGCTCTTTCTTTGGCTTAAATGCTGATGCTCCATTGAGTTTATACGGATTATATAGGGGCTTAGTTTAGGTGCAAGTATCCAGCAATGTAATACTTTTGTCAAGGATTTGTGTCTCGTCTTTCATGGTAGGTTTTTACTTGAAAATGTGCTCTCTTAATACAGAAAATACGGTGTAATATAAAAAACCAGACTCGGGGTAGGTGTTTTTTCCCCATGTTCTAGTGCCTAATCTTTTCATTCTTTCATAGGGGGAAGCTGGGCCGGTATCCTCCATGGCCAGGAAAGGTGAGTGTTCTATCCTACCCCACCACACACAGAATAAGTTTCACCAAATGAATTTTAGTTAAAAATGATTTTTTTTAATACAAACCCTATGAATCTGAACTGTGAAGCAAATGCTGCGGGAAGGGCTTTATATGATCCAGAAGTTCAGCCTGTTACCAACAGCTGTTAGTTCAAATGGAATGAAAAGCAAGAGGGAACAGCAATTTATCTCCTCCCAGAGCTGATTGCATTCCTCAGATTTAGCAATTTAATTCTTGTCACTTTCTGCAAGACAGGTTCCTCTCTTACCGTAATAAATAGTTATAATAAATATTTAAAATATTAGGAATGAGGATTATGGGTTTTTTGTTTGTTTGTTTTGTTTTTGTTTTTTTCCAGAAATGCTGTTTTAATGCTTTTTTGTGATATTTGGGAGGAGAGGCAGAAGAAGTGTTGCATTTTCTCTTTTTTTCTGATGAAGAGCCAAAAAGATAATTTTGATAATATCTGAAAAAAATTTTTTTTCTCCTTCCCTAGAAGTACTGTGTTTTTGTTTTCGGTGTAGGTTTGAGAACTATGCATGCTTAGATAGCAGCATGCTGCAGGAGAAAGCGTTGTCACTGTGGTTGACAGCCATGAATACTTTGTTGCACTTTGGTTATCAGGTCCAGTTAAATTCAAGCTCACCTGCAGTCTTTCAGCTGTCACCTGAGTAATAGAATGACTGCTTCTCTCTTATAAAGTTGAAAATATTACTAAAGAAATCTCTTCTGCAGGTAAAGACACAGCTTTGCATTGTGAATTAAAAGTGGAACAAACTTTTTAAAATATTTTCAAATATTTTATTTAATTGGGGATACAGAGGCAAAAACCTCACTGAGAACATAGCAATGGATCAGTGAATCTTTGCTTTGTGTTTTTTGTACCATGTTGCAGCATAGGTTTATCTAAGGAAGTATAGGGATTACAAATTTACTTGGGAGGTTTGTCATGAATTCAAGTTCTCTTTCAAGTCAAATTGAAAAAACAAAGCAAAACCAAAAACCTACAAGAGCTATGAAACATTTAGTAAGAAAATCATAGCGAATAAATTCTGTGTGTTTGAAACAGTCTCTTTGTAACTTTTTTTCCTTTAATCACCTTCAGATTGTTAATCCACCTAAAGACCTGAAGAAACCTCGTGGAAAAAAGTGCTTCTTTGTGAAGTTTTTTGGAACAGAAGATCAGTATGTACCTCCTTGCTTTCATCTTATGAAAAGATTGACCTACGTAACGTGGATCTTTCATGGAAGAATTTTTTTGTGAACACAAAATTTAGCTTTGCAAAAGGTGGTCTACATGCAAAAGATTGTGACTATTATTGCATGTTGTAGAAGCTCATGTGGGTGTGTGAGGGCTGTGAGGACTCCAGCGTGTTAGGATTTTAGCTGCTCCCATGTAGGAAAGTTCTTGGTAACTTGCCATTTTTATGGGAGTAGGTGTGATGTGACTGGGTTAGACTTAGCATGTAATTATGTTTGAGAAAGGTGCAGCTAAGAGCGTCCATTCGCTTTTCCAGTATAACTGTGAAACAGCTTTATAATTGTCATTAGTAATAAGAATATATCTCATGCACGATGACTGAAAAGGTTCTTGCTGTGCTTTGGGAGGACTTCGCAGCGTAGGGTAAGCAAAACTAGTATAGACCACCGTTTCACAAGGAAAAATTCATCTATTACAATCATGCATGAAAAATCACGTTTTAGATTCAGATATTTGCAAACTAAAAAAAAAAAAAAAACAGAAAATACAGATACTTTATGAAACTGAAAATTATTTTGATAGCCTTTTGTATTTGGTCATGTAATGAGAGAGGAAATTATAATCTTCTGTAAGAAATGAAAACACTTTTCTTTTTCATAGAAACTACCAAGAATTAAGAACAGTTAATAGATGCTTCTCCAGAAAATTATTTTTAACAGACATGTTATTTTTGTTGAATATTTAAAATGTAATTTTCCATTAAGAACTGAGATCTAAACTTGTTGGAGAGGATGCTGCATGTTGATAGGAAGGTCTGCTAGATTTCTAGTAACGTAGGACAAGTGCAGGTGTGTGTGGGGGGTGTATGTGTGGGGGAGATTGAGTTCTTACTGTGGGAGAAGGATAGGAGGAGGGGTGGAAGTGGCTTTTCTGTTACCATAGTCATTTGGGAGCTAATCAGGTCCTAAAACTGAGACTGACTAATGAAACCTAGTCAGAGGAGACTGACTATTCCTCCCCTGACTGCTCTTCATCTTGCATTGCATATTTTTTGGTGCTGATACAGCAGTGTTCATGGTAAGTTGTATTAAGACAAGCTTGGAAATAGCGGTTATAAATAAGGGTACTCTAGCTGAGATTAGCAGCCTGATCTCAGGTGAAGAGGTCACTGCTGCAAAATAATTGGGTTTTATTACATGATTCTAGAGCTCAGGCTAGGGAAAATCCAATCAGCTGGCAGGCTAACAGAGCCACAACTGAACCCCCCCCGCCCCAGCTTGTGAAATTTAATTAATCACTTCCTGTTGGATAATCACATGAACTAGAAATCCAGTTGTTTTATCTGGCATATCCTACCTAAAAATTAAGAATAAATAAATATTGACCCTTTTGGTCTCTTTATAAAACAGGATTTATAGACAGGAGAGAGAGAAACCTGTAGTGTCCTGACCTGGACCTTTATAAGTGTGCTGATTAGAGCTCTTCGAGAAAATCTTCGTCTTTGATCATAGTCAATTTAAGTTTTTCCTGATTCTGTTATTTATTTCACTAAAAATCTGAACCTGAAGGGAAAGTCCTTTTATTTTGTGCAAGTAAGCTAATGTGTTTTTCAAATACTTTTGTTTTAGATGTTTATAAACAGTAAGTGAAGTACCTAGTCACCAACTATCACTATTCTACAAAATGAACAAAATAATAAATGGTTGGATGTTAAACTCCGATCACTGAATGTAATCAGTGGTGTGATGCATAGACTGACTCATACTGGAATTTTAGTGCAAGTCACTCCTGTTTACTTGATCTTCCCTCTTTCTGCCTCTTTCAAGACTATAGGATGACATTATTATATTGTGGATCCCTTTTTTGTAGCTCTTCTGTTACTGCCTTACTCCATGTGGACATAAGCCTACTGTCCAGAGGGTGCAAGATTAAGGCAATGATAGTTGGCAGGTAGAAGCCCTCTAATAAAATTCAGCTGATGTTTGCCAGCTAATTTATCCACAGGCAAGCACATTTAAGCTCTTGATAGGTACTGCCTTTTTTTTTTCTTTGCCTTTTTTTTTTCTTCCTTCCTCTTCCTGAGGTTTCCCAAATGATAGCTCTGTTCAGACAGAAAGGCCACTCTTTCTAGCTAGCGAAAAGTTATTTCTTTCTGACTTAATGTAGCCGCAGTGTGCTATGCCAAAGATTAAGGCAGAAGTGTTTTAGAAGTGTAAACTGGTAGGCAGTGTGACTTTGTGCATCTGAGCAGAGAGAAAGGGTGAGTGAAAATGCACTCGTGAGGAACGTGGCAGTGTGTTTTGTGTAATATGTAGGTAGGCTCTAGTTATTATTTCTCAAATCATGAATGGCTTTGGATACAGCTGAAAAGAGAATGCCCATTTTTGTTTACCTGTGACCTTGCACGTGGATTGAATACTTATGCTTATTGGCCGAGGGTGATATTCCTGGTGGCTAAGGAGTAAAGCCCTCCAGTCAACATACATAGTTTTGGCCAGAGATGTAAAAGCGAGAGTATGAATGCATTCAGACTTCTCGTAAAGTTTACTGTGCTTTTAGTAAAGTTTCTGCTGAGCCCTGTGGTCTTTTATAATGTTGCTAGTGTTATTTGCTTTTATCACTTTTTAAAGTAATAGCTTTTCTGCAAGATAACTATTTTGTATTTGTGGAAGAGATTTCTTTTCCCTTTGCTTAAGCTGTGGAATACTCCTACACTCTACCACAGTGAAAGCTGCCTTGGTGTTCACGGTAGTGATAATACTATCCATGTCCTTTTTTGGGTGATGTGCTAGATGTTTACATACACTCGTATAATTAATTCTGTTATTAACTTTTCTTTGCAAAGAATTTTTTTTCTAGTTTGCCTAGGAGCTCTTCTTGTGGATTTTTATGGCTGTCCCCTGAGGAAGTAGCCTTAAAATGATTCTTCATCCAAAATCAAGAAAATTTGCTGGCAAGCACGTAACAACATGTAGTTACTGGAATAAAAACAACAAATTCGATTTCGTCTTTCTGAATAGTGGTAGGACTCTGATCTGCTATAAATCTTCCTAATTGCACTTTTGAAATTTTAGAGAGTTCCTTTATTTCTGAGGCTATACTTTTGTGAGAGATTTTTGTCATTCCAAGAAAGTGCTGCAATGCAAGAATTACTCTGGTTTTTACACTTGCTCATTTATAACCATGGTCCCGGGCAACCAGCTGACCCCTCTTCAGCAGAAGTGCTGGACCAGATGGTCTCTAGAGGTCCCTTCCAAGCCCTACAGTTCTGTGATTCTATGATAAGTTCATTACTATTAATAGTTAGAACTACTAGACTGGCAGGCCTGTAGCCTACAGGTGTTACAGAAATTCTCAGTGTGCTTCGTGCAGTTTAAAACATTCTGACATTTCATTGCCCATTTAGGAGTTTTTATGTCAAAACCAATATAGCTTGGTGTTATGAATGTGTTGTCACTCTACTTTGCTTCAGTGATGTATTAAAGAGTTGCATAGTGGTCAGGGCTGTATTTGGATATGTATATGTGCGTGAATGTACATGTATGAACACATGCACATATACATTCACTGTATTCATTTAACCCATTGGATGTACTTTAATAGCCAAATGATCTTGCAGGTTATAGGTTTCAAAGTCTTAATATCAAGCTAGAGTAGCCCATTCTCACTCTTAGTACCTTTTTACCACAGCAGTACAAAACTAAATAGTCTCTCTAAATGCAGCGAGGTCAGGAGTTGCTTCCTGACTTGAAAGGTTAAGGAAAAATCAGAGGAAGTTTGCAATACAAGATAAGTATAATCATCTGCAGCCCATTTCCATCAGATACAGTGATTTTTAGTGCAGCAGTCATTGCTTTCCCATCCTCCCTATCCTGTTGGAATGCTAACACCACTATACTCTCTGCCACTATGCTCTCTGGCTTCCAGGGAAGAGAGAAACTTTTGGATGGGATATTTACAATGTGTTCTTTCAGTTCCTAGCATCAGAAAACGCTTAGTTTGACAGGTATTGCATATAATACTGGGAATCTGAGGAGCCAGGTGGTATAAGCTAAGCGGACAAAGAGGGTTAGCAAGAGTTGCTGGCATTTCTGTTGGCCAAACTATCCCCTGCACAGTTCCATTTGCCCAAAGGTAGGCTACTGTATACTAGAGCTAACTGCAGTGTTGCTATAGCCCTGTAGGAAGAGTGCCGTAGATAATCCATAAAGTCAAAACTCTTCTACTTTTTGCTGACATTTCTGGAAGTGTAATTACCCAGTAAAATTTATTACTGCTTACATTTGAAAAATCAAGTACTTCTGTCAGTGTTTTCCTTCTGCTCACTTTCTTTTGCTAAGTATCTTCTCTCAACTGCATGGGCTGTCAGTATAATGTACTGTAGTGTTTTTGTGTTCTTTTCCATGAAGGTATTTGTATGTCAGGTTCTAGAGTTCAGCCTTTTGAGTTATCCTATTGAGGAAAACTGGGGCAGTCTCTTCACAGAAGAACAGAGACTGCAAATGACCTTTAAAGATCATCTAGTCCAACCCACTGCTGAAGCAGGATTGCCTACAGCACATTTCCCAGGACCCTGTCCAGATGGCCTTTGAATATTTCCAAGGATGGAGACTCCACAACCTCCCTGGGCAACCTGTTCAAATCACCCTCGCAGTCAAAGAGCTCTTTTTTATGTTTGGACTGTATTCCCTCTGTTGCAGTTTTTGCTCATTGCTTCTTGGCCTATTCCTGGACACCACTGAGAAGAGGCTGGCTTCATCTTTATATTTTCCCTTCAGTTATTAATGATAAGATCCACCCTCAGTCTTCTCCAGGCCGAGCTATCCTAGCTCTCCCAGCTTCTTGTCATATGAGAGATGCTCCACTCTCCTAATCATCTTAGTTGTCCTTTGCTGGACTCAGTGCAGTAGCTCTGTGTCTCATCCTGCAGGGCTCAGACGTGGGCATTGGACTCCACATGTGGCCTCAGCAGGGCTTAGCAAAGGGGGAGACCAGCTACCCTTTGGCCAATGGCTGGTTCTCTTACTGATGCAGCCCAGGATGCCTTTTTGGCCTTTAGGCCTTCTTGGCCCCAAAGGCACACTGCTGACTTACGGGCAGCTTCTTGTCCAGCAGGGCCCCCAGCTCCTCCTCCATAGAGCTGCTCTCCAGCAGGTCAGCGCCCAGCCTGGGGTTATTCCTCCCTATGTGCGGGACTCTGCCCTTCTGTTCATGAGGTTCCTGTCCAGGTCCCCCGAATGGCAGCACAGACCACTCCTCGCGGTTTTATATCATCCATAAACTTGCCGAGGGTGCACGCTGTCCCTTCATCCAGGGCACTGAGGATGTTGAACAGCTTTGGACCCCCTGTTGAACCGTGCGGTGCACGACTATATACAGGCCTTTGTCTAGACTTTGCAACACGATCATCTGAGCAGGAAACATAGCTAGATTTCAGCGTTTGCTTCTTTCCAATGCTATGTGCCCGTGCATGCTGGGGTTGTAAAATAGCCTTGCTGTTTGTTTTTGTCTTTCAAAATTGATTTTTACTAGCATTTAATGTAGGCAACTAAAATAGTACAATGTAAACTTTATTAAAACTTATCTGGAGTTTACTTGCTAAAAGAAACTTTGAGTTACAGTGGCTACATTTTGCAGTCCTGGCTGCGAAGCTTGCGAAAGTGGGTATATGGGTAGGTTCTGTCACTTTCATTCGTGTAATTTATCATTAGGAATTGGTATTTTTAGAGTGAAAGAGTGACTAGAAAGTGTTTTTTGGAATTATCTTGCCTATGCTAAGCTTGTATCAAGGATTTGAGCCTGACATCTCTAGCTGCGTCTCTGAGTCTTTATTGCTCATGAATAGAACATGGGTTTTACTGTGAGTTGTGGTTTTGAACGAATGTCATTTTAGAGGGAAGAAGGGAGGGTGAGGGAAAATGGGCAAATAGAACCATTACTGAAACATATCCTTTTAAATAGTTCTCTTTTCACTTTCCATTTCAACCCTTCTTTATGGATATTAAATAACTGTGCAGCAATATCGTTGCAATCTCATCTTAAATACAACCTCTTCAGTAATGTAATATCACCAGTGCTTTTCTAAGGCATTAATCCATTGCTGAAACAGGAGAGAAATAGCAGTTCCTGTTTCTGTTGCATCCTTGAGACCTCTTATGTAAATATTGCTCTTTGGCTATGAGGTTATTGCTCAACGGAGAGATCTTCAGTATAAACATAAATGACTTTGAGACATTCTTTAATGTTTCAAGCACCAGAAAATTACGTGAAAATGCTTTATGGACATTGAGTGTTAAAAGACGTGTTTCTGTCTGGTAGGAAGTAGTCCAAGTAGACACACAAAGGATAAATTGGAAAAGGCTGAGGGATGCATACATAAATATGTGAACATATATGTTTATTTTTTTTTCCTGAGGCAGCATCTGAGGCTCTGTTTTCACGTTACTTTGTCTTTGAGCTCCAGCTCTTTGTCCTTGGTGATCCTAAGCACCAAAGTTTACCCTGACAGCCAGGAGTGAGAACTCTTTGTGTTTCAGCCTTTCTCCATCCCAAAAGAAAAGTAATGGAAAAGGGAATTAATGGCACAGGCAGTGAGGAGGGATAAGATGCAGGCTGGGAGAAAAAAAAAACACACTTAAAAGAATGTCTGGGTAGAAAGGAGGTTATTTTTATTTAGAAATTGAAATCTCAGAAAAATATAATGTTTACTTTGTTTGTAAAACAGTGATGTTTTGGAGTCAGGTAAAAACAGTTCAGCTGGCTTATACGATGATCTGTGCTGTTGTATGCTGAGAAGCTGAGCTCTCTGAGCTCAGAAAATCTCTTACAAAGCTTATACAGGACAGTTTTCCATCGTAGGCGTGGAAATAGTTTTATAACAATGTCAGATAAACGTGGGCTTGAATTTGGTTAGAAATTGAGGTAGTCTGAACTCTTTGAGAGCAAAGGTGTTCCTCTGAGCCATGGGGAGAGAGTGGTAGAACTTCCCAACCTGATAGAAGGGGAAGTCATGACCTTGTAGTTGAGAGCTTATCCATTTGGTAAAAGTCAAGAAGTCCTTTAAGCGGCAGTGGAAACAGTGAGGTTGTTTGAGTTTCCTCATACAACTCGAGTGAGTTCTCGAACTGCTAAATTATGAAATACACCAGTGCCAGTTTATCTTAAATCAGGTATCTACAATGAAGAAAAATGTGTCTTAGAAATGAGATTTGATTTCATGCAGGATATCAACATGCATCAGAAACATAGTATGTATGCAGTGAGGTGTGGTGTTTACGCTTGCTTTATTTGTGGTCAGCTGTATTTAGGTATCTAATTTTGTATTTAATCTTCCTGTTTTTTGCAGATACTTGTGTATACACAGTGTGCTTGAACTGATGTGGTTGGTTACTATTAAGTGACTTATTCTTGCAACAGCCTTAGAAAGAAGATTAATATTAGTAGCTACTTTATTTGGAGTCCCTTGTTTGTGGTTGTTCTCCCTGATGATATAAAAACAGTCTCCCTGATGCCTTTGCTCCGAACAAGTGCCTGTGATCATATCCAAAAGCTAGGTTGCTGACAGGTCATTTCAATAATGCTTCGAGGGCAGTGTTGCTTATACAAGAGGGCATCAAACTTGTGGGAGAAGCCAAGTGAAAGTCCCAGAAGAAAGTTCTTGGTGAATGTAGATATCACAGCCCTTCAGATTATAGAAAGTGAGCGAGCGGGTTGCTATCATCAGTTGCTCTGTGAAAAAAAATATATGTTTGTGTATCTATTGAAGAGTGGTGGTTAAGTAAGTTACTGTCTGGAGAATATACTTAACCTTTTTTTTATGGTTTTTAGTGCTTGGATCAAAGTGGAGCAGCTGAAGCCTTATCACGCGCACAAAGAGGAAATGATAAAGATTAACAAGGGTAAGCGCTTCCAGCAAGCCGTGGATGCTGTAGAGGAGTTTCTTAGAAAAACCAAAGGCAAGGACCAGGTGAGTGGATTCTTATTTACTGTGTGCATCAAAACAAATCATGGCATGAGTAATGGTCGATCATATTTTTATCTGGAATAAATTGATTTTTTTTTCTGGCAAGTTGGGTGTGCTTCTTTGTGAGTGTGATGTTTTTTATTTTTTATTTATTTTTTCCTATCTTCTTCTCCCTCGATGTTGAGTCTCATTTGGTAGAAAAGAGCATATTCTTGGAGAAACCAATCAGTTTATGATGTTTTGTTAAATCAGTCTTAACTCTTGGGCTAGAATTTAATATCTCCTAATCTTGTCTGTAGTATACTGGAAGCGTGTGCAAGCACACACCTCCCCAGCAAGTCTTCGAGTGGCCTGTTCTGTTAATCAGTTGCTTAAACTGATGTGTTTTTGCAGGAGAGCTAACCAGGATCTTCATTCACCAACTTCAAAGGGCTAACATATCATAGTTTTCATGTTACTGTGCAGTTGGTTTGCCTGATAGTAATCAGCACAGGGTTCTTCGCATCCTTGGTTTTGCATGAAAATCATTCAAGCTCTTCTCTTCTTTCCTTACCATCTTCTATTCTGTAATCTCTCAGGCATCTTCCCATAACTCCAGTGAAGAGAAGAATCGTCGTAATTCCAGTGAAGAGAGAGGCAAGCAATCTGCTGGTGAAGAGAAGCGCAAAGCCAGTTTGTCTGAAGGGAAGTTGAAGAAGGGCACAGGGGAAGGAAAAAAGAGGGTCTCTTCTGTATCGTCAGAGAGAGGATCAAAATCACCTTTGAAAAGAGCCCAGGATCAGAGCCCCCGAAAGCGGGGGCGTCCACCCAAGGATGAGAAGGTTTGTGTTGTGCATGTCAGCCAGTGCCCTGTGGACTTTACAGATGGACTCTAGGGATGGCTGGCACCTTGGCTAACAGGCCAGCAGGAAGAATGCAGTTCAGTATCAGTTTTATTTATTTATTTATTTTAAGCTGTTCCATGTTGCTGCTTCTAAACATGTTGGCTGTCAGATACCTTTGGCAAGCATATTGTTGATTCTTCCTGTGGATTTTTAAGTTAGTCATTCTGAGTAGCTCTGTTTATCTCTTTGGAAGAGCTTTGAGAGCCTTCTCATGAGACTCCACCTTCCATCTTGCCATCCCTCAAGTTAAGTTGGTGTGGGAAGAATTAGTGAGGAGATGTGGGCCTTCATCTGATTCCTGACTTCTCCCATCTCATCTGCTTTGTATGGTTAATTGATTTATATATAATTACCTTCATCCCCAATACTTACTAAAGGTGTGGTGTACTTAAGGGCTGAGGCCAAAAGAAGAAATTCTTGTAGCCCGAGGAATCCACAAGAAAAATTATTTGCATTTATTTCAACATCTACATCTGTGCTGTTAAGTATATTTTCTTCATCCTTGATAAAAGTCTAACATCTGAGCATTTTAGTTTTATTCCTGTTATTTCTGGATGTCTTGGCAGCAACAGCAGTCAGCAGTGTTTTGTCTACCCTCATCTAGGATTCCAACATTTCATTTTCATTATGGACCTCACTGCAGTGGTCCAGATCTTTCTTCTCTGAATGGATAATTATTTCAATGGATTGTTACGATGCACCTGCTCATCAGACTCCACCAGAAGACCGTTGTGACACTTCAACTGATACAGGATGTGGCAGCCTGCTCGCTTAGTCATGCTTCAAAGGGATCATATTATGTGTGTGCTTCACAATCTTTGCTTTCCATGCACTTCAGGATGCAGCACAAGATGGTAGTCTTTGATCTCCAAAATCATGAATGGATTGGCCTTGACTTGATGAACTGCAACCTTTTTCTTGATGCCTCGCTAGTAAAAAGAATCTGATTGTCTCAGATTTTAGATATGAAGGAGCTGCTGGCAGAAAATATTTAGCAACAAGATACTGATTCTGAGGTTTCTCTCTCATCTGTCTGTCTGAATTTTTACAACCAGCTTCTATGAAATCAGGCTATGCAGAGCACATCACTTTCTCCTTTTTGGGGAGGGAAAGGAAAGGAATGGATGCATACTTATGGATTCTTATTGATAGTTCTGAACCTTGTGACTTGACTGATGCAGGAAAGCACTTTACCAGCAACTTTCCCCTCTTCAAGTGTGTTGCTATAAGCATGTTGTACTGTCAAACATTTGTTACGAGAAGCCACTGGGCCTTTTTTTTTTCTGATGCAAAATCCTTTTGTGTCTTTAAGCTAGAAGAATAGTTAGAAGAATTGTGATCATGCTGCATGCTTAGTTGTACTGCATTAGCTACCTTGCGGCATCAGAGAGGTTGGGATGAGCTAATTGTGGCAGTAGAAATTATTTTACTGGCAAATTGCAAGCATTGTGGATTCAAACAGCTTATCATAAAGAGGTGGCAAGTGCGAGCTAGGTGATAAGTGTCTGGCCACAAACTGTGTAAATTAAGCAGGCTAATGTATGAAGATAACCTTATTGCTTCTGGAAAGGTAATATACAGACAATTAGAGAAAACATCATGAAAATATAATAGTGCTACCATAATGCTATTACCCTGCCTGTGAAAATAATTTTAAAATCTTTTCTTATGCGTGCTTGGTTCTCATGATTTACTCAAATTCTTCACCCTGAGGATAGAAGTATATAAACCTTTAACGTCATTGTCCGGAAGTGCTGCGCTGTTTGGTACATTATGTAGATAGATATTTTCTTCTTCCATCACAGTCTGGCTTTTGGAGTAATAGGGATGCAGAGAATTCAAGGATCCAGTCATTGCTGAGGTGTGCCATGTCTAGATATGCATGGCAGGCATACACGATGATTCAAATACCTCACTTCTAAGCTTGTGTGAATATTTTCAAAGGAGCAGCATGGCTTTGCATATATCAGAGCAGATTTCATCCGCACTTTACCAGCTGAATCAACAGCATGGGTTCTAAGGAGGCAATTCTAACATGCAAGCTTTTCTCTACACTGAAATAGCATTTTAATGTTGGAAACTGATGTCTAGATTGCCCTGTCAACAGATGAAGCAGTGGAATTAACCTGGATCACTTATGACAGTGCCGATCTTCCATTTTTGGCCAATAGTGCTCTTGTGTGGCTCTGTGTGGACACTGAGGTATAATGTGTGTTTGCAGGAAGTAATTTTGGGGGCGGGGGGAGTGGAGGTGTGATTCCGTTTTTCAACTCTCAATTTAGGAAGATAAAACCTAGAATGTAGAAAACTTATTTTAACCTGTGCATCTTGGGAAAAGAAGAAAGATAAATTCTGATGTGCTCAACAGTAACACAGTGGTTCATTAAGCATTGTATCATCATGGCATTGCACAGTAGTGCATTTTAAGTGAATGGGGGGCAATTCTCGTCTCAGACCCTATTTCATACGTTCTACTAATTTGAGCAGGTGTGACTGTATCAGATTCATGTTTTGAAGGTTTTCCCTCTCATAGGTTGCTATTTTACACACACACACACACACACACACACACACACACACTGATGTGCTGAGAAAAGCTGAGATGTCTGTCTGATTGTGGTGATGTTCTTGACCCCTTTGTTTAGCTTTATGCATCTACCAGAGGGAATTGCTGGATGAGGCGTGTTCATTTGCTTCTCTGCTCACTGCATGGTTATACAAATTCAGTACTTCCTCTTGCATGTGAAGAATGGAAGCCATATCTGTGGTTAAATTCTTTTGTTGCAGGTTCATGTTCATCTCACCTGTGCAGATAATGCACTGTGTGCTCACATATGACTTCATTGTGAAGTGGCACGTGAAGTAGAAGGCATTTGTAGTGCTTTTCAAAACTCTGTATGTGTGCTGTTATGATCAACGTGGTGTGGCCAACCACTGAGCTAGATTTTAAGCTCTTTCTGATCCGCCTTGTTTCTCTTTAGGACCTCACAATTCCAGAATCAAGTACAGTGAAGAGAGTGATGACTGGAACAGTGGCTGGATTCAAATGGCCACCAAGTGTCAGTGAGGTGAGAAGCCCTGGGTTTGTAGAGAAGATCTGGGAGCTGGGGGTGGTCAAGAAACAGATGTCATGGGGGAGTTTGTTTAGAACATTTTGACTGGACTCTAAAATGGCAGTAGCTTCTCCTGCTCCTTTAGGAATAAAATAAGATGCTATTCAGTTGTGTGCAAGGACAATATCCTGAGCAGCTGGTAAGTATGCTCAGAAGTGAGATTTCACTCATCGTGGAACCATTTGTAGGTTCATGTAATTTACTGGACTTGTTTCTGCATTTTTTGCTGTCGTTTCAAAAGTATTTAGCTTCCCCAAATCAGCGGGGGAGCAAAGGCATTCCCCTGAGCAACAGTGAAAGACTTTCTGGTGTAGCATTGGGAGGTTAACAGTTTTCCTCAAAACTAGCTGCTGGAAACCTTTCCTTTTATATGTAAAGAAACATTAATCAATAAGAGTATTGTGACTCCAGGCTAATGCTTAGGATGCTCATCTGAGATGAGGTACCTGGACTCCAATCCTTGTTGCTGTGAATGTGGTTTTCCTGACATCTGACAGTGCTAGCATTAAAAGCCTACAGCTGTCTCTCAGATCGCTGCTTTAAGGAATCCCTTGGGACCTGGAAAATGAAGTGGTTTCCTCACCTTGGGAAAAGGAGGAAGAAAGATAGCTGACATCTGACAGTGCTAGCATTAAAAACCTACAGCTGTCTCTCAGATCACTGCTTTAAGAAATCCCTTGGGACCTGGAAAATGGAGTGGTTTCCTCTCCTTGGGAAAAGGAGGAAGAAAGATATGAGAACCCAGTGATGCAGTTGTGACTGCACCAGTGAATACCTTGATCAGAGGGAGACATATCTCTTCCTTCCCTTCTTAATCTTGCTCATAATCTTCTTTGGTTTTCCTGTAGATGCCTGTAAATGGGGGACTTGACTTTGTTGTCTTATTGTCAGTGTTGTCAACGACTTTATTTTTGAGAACAAAACACAATGTGAACTGCTTTGTTGATACAGGCTGCTTGATAAGCTCTCATAGACTAAGTATTTCCAATTTAAGCAATTGTGAAAGTAGCTGTGGATGCTCTGTGATTCTCTTGGAATGTTTCTGAGCCTGTACTTCTCTCTCTGTAGCCCGTGAA